TCCAAAACCTCCACAGCCATTTGCCTTGGAGGGCTTCGTTCATTTTTACCAAAGATCGAATCTCCAAACCCCCATAGTCTATAGGGTCCTTAATGTCATCCCAATTTACCCAATGATATTGTCGATCCTCCTCCCCATCACTCCATAGAAATTTGCATTGAATGGATTCCAATTTTTTGGCAACCTTTATCGGAATAGTGATGGTAGATAGATAGTAGATTGGTAAATTGGCCAAGGTGCTCTTAATTAAAGTGTATCTCCCACCTTTTGATAAGAAACCTCATTTTCATCCAGCAAGTCTTTTTTCAAATAATTCAATAACCGGCTCCCAAGTTAGTTGATTTTTGTATTTAGCCCCTAGAGGAACACCAAGATATTTGAAAGAGAATTTTACCTCTTTACACCCCAGAATTTTGGCAAAAGGCCCAGCATCACCACTTCCCCAAATTCTTGCAAGTTCGGACTTGTTAAGGTTTATCTTGAGTCCCGAAACCACTTGAAAACACAGCAAGACACATTTTAAATATAGCAGATGCCTCAAATAAGGCTTGCAGAAAATTAAAGTGTCATCCACAAAGAAAAGATTGGAGACCACAGTTCTGTTTTCCCCGTGCCCCACTGAAACACCCTCAAGCCCTTCGAAGCTTCAATCAAGACTCCCATAATTGGCTAGAATCAGTGGCCTTTGTTAGGGAGTTAATTTTATTCTTTTCCTTAATGATTTGAACACAAACTTTTTTATAGGTTATAAGCAATTAAAGCAGCGACTATCATGGCCAGAATTAGTGGTCATTCTTGCAGCAGCAGTGGCTGCTGTGGAGATATATTCAAAACATTAACCCTAACCCTAAATGTTCAGAAAAAGACTCTTTTGTCCCCTTTTTTGGAGTTTTCCCTTTTAACCCTTAATATCTTGACATAATTCTAATATCATTGTTATAAAGACAATAATGCCAACAGCAAAAAATGAGATTAGAGAATGGAAAGCACCTTGTAAGATCCATGACTGTATATATGTTCGGCTGTATTGCTGAAATCTTTCAAGACATATTTCATCCAGCCTCTTTTTCCTGAAAGAACAATGCTAGCTTTACTTACAACAAGAAGGAAGAACAAATAAAGATAATAGAGATTCTGTGAGCAATAGCCAAAGTTGGGCGTAAGGGACTATTTTCCATATGAAATCCAGTTATTTTGCAACAGTTCACTTTTAAACAAGGGACTACTTTTAGTTCCTGAAAAATCTTTTATTAACAGTTAAGATAACTCTTTCTTTTCGGAATAAAAAATATTAAGACAACTGATCACAATAACTCATGTAAGATTGATGTGATCAATGTTTTGTCCAGCTCAAATGAGTTATTTCCCTGTCAGTTTCTTATCTATCTTATTTGGGAGAGATGGTGGTATCTTATTATAAGTAATAAAAGCTTTCAACTCTATCTGAGGTAAGATGAACTGGAGAGTTAAGCTCCTCCATGGACACAAAAAATGCAGTCAAAGTTCCATTGAACTCAAGCGAATTATTATGTGTCGGGATTTTGCTTTATAAAATTCCCTCATTTGAGACAGAAGGTAGCTTTTTTTATAAATAAGAACAAACTAATATACAGTAGGAAACTTTTTATATACTGACAAAGAAACAATTCAATATGCACCTAATAAGCCTTCTCTGCTGATGCAAAAAAAGCTTGATTTGAACTTTTTCTATGGAAAAAGAAAAATTATTAGGAAAATGAGGAAAAGTTACAGCACCAGAAGAAAAGAAACCCTATGAAGATAACAAACGGAAAAGAAAGGGAAGAAAACTATCAAAACAAAACTTCATCCCAATCCATTTATACAAAATAGCCGAAGAGACATCCTTAAAGAAATCATGAGCCTTGATCCAAAAAGCAACAAAGAAAACCATCCTGTCTCATAAGCAAGATGAACGAAAATAACGATTCTCAAAGAGTCTATTATTACATTCCAACCATCATACCCATAAACCAACAAAAATTACTCCTCTCCAAATCACACTAGCTTCTTTCTTCCACCCTCCTCCCTTAAGGAACATAGAGAGGAAATACTCAAGCAGAGGAAATGACCCACATAGCACCAAAAGTATCAAACAACATAGACCATGGCCTCCAAGTCACCTTGGAGTGCAAAAAGAGGTGACTATGGGATTTAGCCACCTTGAGACATATAACACACATCAGAAGAAATGGCACTATAGGTATTGGAAATTTGCAACAAACCACTAGTGTTAAACCTACTCAAAACAGCAATCTATATGAAAAATTTGAGTTTAGAGGAAACTTTAGCTTTCCACAATGCACTAGCGAGAGTCTAGTTTAAACTTCAATCAACCAATTCAATGCTTGAGACCTCTAAGGAAGCATCATGAATAATTTATTTGTTTATTAAGGGGATAAATGAGCTTGACAGATGAATTTTTCTCAAATAATAACCTTGGAAAATACTACTATACCATTGATACCTTCAACATCTCTAGTAGAACAAAAACATCAGTTTTGATCACTGATGAGAGTATCAGCAACGAGCGTAAACATGTCAATCATACCCTAGAGCATCAACTTTGTCTTAACGAACTACAACCATAGGATACGTCATCATACACTTGACCACTGCACCAACAGAATTACACACACCAAATAAATATACACAGACACTGAGTTGATCTTCCACTATTGGCCGGTTTTTCAGTCCTGGGAAACGTAATTATAACTCCAGTAATTAACCCCAGTACATCACTGTTATAGTCATCAATAGAAACACACTGACTCTTGTTATCAACAAGATTATCCTCTCCCCACATGGCATCATTTGATAGCTTCCTATATATCTGTTTCAACATAAGTGTGTAGCTTCCTATATATACACATGTTCTACCTAGGAAGTGTTGCTTTGCTATCTACAAAAGAACCTCCATCCAAAGCCAAATCGAATGGTATCTCAACCTAAACAATACAGCAAAAATCGAAGCCATTTGTTTGCATTTGTGACCATTAATCCATGGCTCATCAGAGATTTTGAAAGTATCAATGTCAAGGACAAAAGCATGCTTCATGTTCTGGTTTCAGAGTAAAACTGTGATAATATGTCTCTCATTAACTGCTACTCCTCCTTACAACATAAAATGGAAGAATAAGCCAGAAAATTTATATCAATATCATGACATGAAAATATTAGATCAAACACAGACTTTCAGCAAGGTAAACATCACTATTGGAGCTCTGAATAACTTACTTCTTTGGTAATTGAATCTTTTCAGGCTTTGCAACGGCAAAGCATCTGAACTGACTACTTCTGTTAGCCTCCACCCATCTCACTGAAAATCATTAAAACCAAAAGGGAGAAAAGGACAAGTAGTTAGAACAAAGGACGTGCGTGAGACCATAATCATAGAAGCAAAAAATCACAAACTCACCCGTACCTACAAGAAAACATTTTCTGGATCTTTAAGAGCATGTCATAGTGAAAATAAATCCAGAAAAACAAGAGTAACTAATTTTTCGATTAAATTTGTCATGCACATCATGATAGAACGTTTTCATTTCAAATCCACTAAGCTCGCCAGGCACACAACACGTTCGAGGAAATTACTGAACGGAAAGAAGAAAACAATTCGAAATAGAAATGGAAGCTTGAAGTTGGTTTTGCGTCCAAGCACGAATCTACTATACATACAAGCGTAGATGAATGCGGAAAGGGAGAGTACCTGGAAGAGTATGAGCATGGTATTTAGATAAGAAAAGGAAGCTTGAACAAGGGCCTGTGCTACAGCGCCAGAGTATGGGAAGCTTAAGAACATGCAGTGCCATAGTTGCCTTCTCTATGGAATTACAAAATCAAAGTGATCAGCCAACAAGAAATCCATCCGCCGCAGCTCGTCGAATCGTCTTCACGAGTTGCGAGAGTGTTTCCGGCCTCATTTTCTTTCGTACTGGAATTCGCACGGATTTTGATTGGGGAATTCGCCAAACGACGTCGTAGATCATCGAATACCCCGCAGTTCAAAGAACCTGCAGTAAATCCGGTTATACGACGTCGTATATCTTTAGAGCACCCGGCAGTTAACAATCCTATGAAACGATGTCGTATTTCTTCATAATACCCCGCAGTTAAAGAAACTCGGTAAAATAAATAAATAATTAAATGAAAAAAATATATTTCAAAATTAAATGGCCTACGCTCAGTATCTTCTATTGTGGATAATAGATGGATAAGATGTCCAATGAAAAGCCTGGGAACCAACACCTCATCTTTCACCACCACATGT